GGGACTCACATAATACAATAAATCAGATTCATGAAAACTGTCTGTTACCATAATAATACATATTATTATAATATTATACACACGCATATATCGTATGGAGTAAATCCATCTACAAACGTGACACGATTGTGTGTGTGTGTGTGTGTATGATGCATTTATCGTAAAAAAATATAACGATAACAACGACGGATATACCTAATAATAATAAAAATAATAATAAAACATAAAAAGCTAGTGGTTCGAGGACGGTGAGCTTTTTGAGGATGAGAATGGAGGGGATGACAAAAAAACTTTTTGTCGGCAGTCATTTTCGGGTGGTGCGCGCGCTTTCGGCGCCGGTAGCGCGGCTTCGCGGCGTTTTCGACGAAATCGACAGAGGTCCGCTCACGTACAGTCGACAACGGTAGAGACCGTTTAGTACGTTCAATCGGCTCACCCGGCTGAGTCCTGCGCCGCCGCCGCGTTCAAGTCCAACCGCCGATGCCGCCGCCACCCGCACGCCGAGAAAACGCGATACGCCACCGACGCTCGTCCTCCATTCACCCCGTCAACTACCCACTCGCCGTCACACGACTCACCCCCTCTGCCTGGGTCCTCGTGTCCTCGCCGCAGCCGGGTCTGCCGCCAAACGGCCGCCGGGAGCACCGACGCCACCACCGCTGCGCCACCACACGGCAATGATCGCGCCGCCCGGAACTATGCGCCAGGTAAAGACCGTATACGATCATGGTCGCTATAATATTATAATAATATATCGTTATCACAATCATATTATCTATAATATCGTATTGACCGTTACCTACCGTTAACTACGCATGTGGCGTGCAATGTAGAAAAATTGTTTGATCGTGTCATTGCAATTCACAATGACTAACCGACGTATGGCTAGATCGTTGGTAGCCAGTTCAGACTTTCGTCGGCGGGATACGTATTCGATTTCATAACAACTACTGTTGAAACCATTATTTATCATTTATAGCGTGCATTGCGTTAACTATGCACCACTCTGTGCAATACAAACCCAGATAAATATCGTTAGAAATCGTGGTTTAGTCATGCTAATATACTACGAAAGAGTGACCATCGTATAATATTCATATCACATGCAATATTCTATTATAATATAATTGATAATGATAGCTGGCAATATGAACTATATGATATCTGAAATGATAGTGTGATATAGATAATGTTGTACAAGTAATAATATGATAACGCCGATATCGTTATCGGTACATACACAGCGCCCAAAACACAATATTTACAGAACAACGCCATTTGGTTTCAAGAACCAAGCGTCTGTGTACCAAAATTGCCTATTTGAAGCGCCGCGTTAACAGAGCTAGTTTTTTGTCAGTATGGTTTCGTTTATCAAAAATTCTCACGCAACAAGCAATATRACCATGAAATTTATTTATCCATTTATTTACAATACTCGTCCACYACGGTTGTGTTCACGTGGCACACGTATCTAGCTYRAAACCACGGTTGAGATAATAATTATTGACCTAARCTCGAAACCCCTCCTGACAGTTATTTAAAATATTATTTTATTTTTCAAACACACTTATCTACACTTAAGATGATCTTCTACATATTTTTCATAGTATTATAGTATACATTCCGTTGTATAACAATTATTTTTTGAAAATATTCCATACTCCATAGTTTTTAAATAGTTAGGTTATTATACATATATAACTTAATATATTAT